TTGGGTCTTCGAGATACACCAGGAGGGGAAACCGAGGGAGAACTGGAGAGTATGGAAAATACTAACTCTAACGGAAGAGTGTCTTCAAAATGTTCACAGATGACGGAGGAGGAGTCTATCTGGTGTCCCTTAAGCTAATGGTAAGAATCAGAGGCCCTAAATGCAGAATTCTAGAACTACAGAACTGAAGCAGACCTTGGAGCATGGATGTCTGGTACACTTTACAGACAAAACCGTAACACACATGGGCGAAGGGAACTCCTCAGAAGACACGCTATTGTTTAAGATGGAGCTGGTTTCTAATTTCAAGTTGTTTTCACGTTCTACCACGTTGTCCTGGGAGGTTTCATGTCTAGGAAGGAGGGCAATGATCATCCCATCAGAAACGGTGTTATAGAGGCCAGCAGGTGGCGTGGTGGTTAAGGCACTGGACTCCCACATGGCTGACCATGGTTGGAGTCCTGGACCTGATGGTTTGCCTTCTCACTTTCTCTCTGTCTGTGGCACACATACCCTATAGCAAATGAAAGAGGGGCAATTATAATAAACAAAAATTAAATAAGTAACTCTTAAAAAAACAAAACCAAGACGTTATATTTGCTATGTGGATGGCTGCTCCATGATCAGGTATTTGTTAGCAGGGGTTCTGTTAGAATAAAAGAAGTTAAAAGAATTAAAAATAGGAATCATGCTACTGCTGGATAATTCTCTCGGCAAGGTCAGAACCACATATATCTAATGTTATTGGAGAACCTATGCTGGCCGAGAAGCTCGCAAACATTTTTCACTAAAAGATTTACGAATGTTTCTGCATCTAAAAGACAGTAACTTTGTGGCCAAATAGAGCATTTAAAACCATAATAGAATTGGGTCCAGATAGGTATATGGTGGTCAGGCATGATGCTCCGGGAGGCTGGCCCACAGGGAGGTTCCAGGGTCACATCTAGCGGCCTCCCTGAACACACCCGGCACACGGGTGCCCATGATTCGGGGCTGGCTAAAGCTGAGGTTGGATGGTACTTTTGAGACTAGGCTGGGGATGCTGTCTCTTTGTCTCTATCACTCATAGAGGATGAACTTTAAAAATAAATAAATAAATAAAATAATAATTATTACTATGTGCCTTATAACTGATTTACTGGATATAGATGTAAGCCATTAAAATGCCTTTTTAATTCAGCAGCATCTTTTCTTTCCTACCAACTGTATTTATCCAGCTAATATGTTTTGAGCAACTAATACAGACATATTCGGACCATATACAAGCATAGGGTGAAAGATGCAGACGAGTTATTTGTTCTGTGCAAATATGTATAATGCAAGAGTCATATATGTGTGTGTATGTGATAAAGTCATGTATGTGTGTGTATGTGATAAAGTAGAGAGAAGTGAGGAATAAGGGCTAAGAAGAAAGACACCGAGGAGAAGCTGCACTAGCGACAATGGTTTTGATGATGGGGTGGATGGGGACGGTGCTGTGGGAACGAGTGGACCTCAGTGTAGACGGCATATGTGACGGAATGCAGGGAGAAAGCACAAAACCAGGTAAGGTGCGTGACCACCCGGAATGGCATCCAGAGTTGACTTTGATGATGGGAGAATGAGGTGGAGGGAAGGTAGGCTGGTTAGTTCCGGAGTGTAGACCTGGAATGTCAAACTCAGGGTCGGAGCTTTGCTAGGTAGGCAACAGGGACCACTGATGATGTATGGGCCAGGAATGACAAGACTCAAGAGATGTGTGCAAGACAGGGAAGGGACTGAAGACAGCAACAGCGGTTAGGAAGCTGCTGCAATGGTCTAGTGAATGACCTGCTCCTGGAAGCAGGATGGTGGCAGTACGCATGGAAAGAATGATAGCTAAGCACTCTTAAAGTACGTCCGATTGACAAGAAGTAGAATAACCCCCCTCCATTACTTAGAGTCATTCTGAGCCTGGTAAGTATTGCCCATTGTCATATGAGTACACAGAGTACTCAAGGAGGTATAATTTACTCTCACAGTGATTGGTTGGGGGGGGTCTTAACCTTGTATAACTCTAAATCCATCTCAAAAGCCTACCTTTCTATCAGAAGAGGAAACAATGTGACCACTGTGTCCTAACCTATCCTCACTGGGAACTACCTGCTGTGAAAACTGCTCACACAAGAGGAGGAAAACATCCCAATTAGAAAGTGATCACTTAAAACATTGCATACTGCATTCACGTGGAACGGCGTGTGCTCTGCCAAGTCCTTCTCTACTTCTTTTCTCATTTTCTTTCAAGCAGGCAGTCCTGGAGGCATTAAGGTGGGAAATACTGGACCCATTTTATAGAAGAGAGAGTGGATGTTTGCCATGGGCCTACGAGCTACCAGGACCAGCCTCTCTCAACTCCTGTTTTAGGACACTTTGCAACCCAATCGCTCGGTGGTCAGTTAAAGGCAAGTGCTCTGAACTCTACAGGACTTAAAATAGACGCTGGCTGGATAAGACATGGGTGCTCTGATGCCAGGGGAGTGGACGAAGGCTGCCCAGAACACGTCCCTCACTAAGCGAAACCCAAGCCAGAGCCCAGCTGGGAATTCCACTGCTGCTCAGGGTTTAGGAACTGTTTATTTTTACTTCTTGGCTCAAACCTTTCATTCCTGTCCTTGTCTCTTCTTGTCTCTTCTCCTTTTCTCGCTCTCTTTCTCCTGGCAACCACAGTCCTAGCCTACACACACGCCTGTCTTTGTGTGGAACACCACCATCTAGAAATACTCTAACAAGCTCAGTCACCTGCAGGTGGCACAATTTAAAACTGATATCAAAACCCATTCTATCATGATCAGCCTTCGATTCATTTACCCTGCATAGTAAAGACCGAGAAAGAAGATGAACACAGTTCATGGGGGAAAAATTAATGCAAAATGAGAGACTCCTTCAAGTGGCATTTCCAAGCCTGGTTTTTGTAGTGGGCTTACGTAATCAGATATGACTGCCCACACGTGTTCGGCTGCACTATTTCGGGAATGATTCCAGCACATCAGATGACGTCAGGTGGGTTAGCAGGAACCTCGGGATGTGGTGGCTGCTCTCCTGTGCTAGCCGCCTCCACAGGAAAGAGGTCAAACAACAGGGCTGCTGGAACTTTCCTCGGTCCCCCTCTGGCTCTCCCCATATTCTTGTCCCCATGGCCTTGTACTTTCCTCCTACTTACGCACAAAGCAAAGCTTTCTCTGGAAAAACATTATTTCACAAACATTCCTGAAGCACATAAGTCCATACACAAGGTCCACACAGAGCAACTTCATTCATTTGGAATTGATTTGGGCAATGTACCTCCCCACGTTGGTATCTCGTGTTTTTCTACGCAGGCCTCCTGGCAAGTCAGCCATTAGTACAGCAGTATTAATCAGTGCTGCTAGTGCAACACAGATGGGAAGAGATGGGAAGCCTCCCTCCGCTTCAGAAACCCTTCCCGGGAAGTGACAGGATTGCCCAAAGGAGGCTGAATAGGCTTAACTTTGACCTCCCTTTTTCCTCTCGAAGAAGGACTTGATAAATTTATATTATGTGAGCTCACAAGAGATCCTGCCCAAAGAAGGTAGAAAATAAAGAATTCATGACATAAGTAGCCTTAAAAGCCACCAAGACAATCACAATGCGGAGCGTGACTAACTCCCTCCCACAGCATCCTCACCAAGTGGTTAGCCAACCATGTCTGAATTTCCCAGCGATAAGGGAGTCTTCATTTCTAAGGGCAGCAAATTCCTTCTGTGGAGAACTCTGGCCATGAGTACGGCCCATCAGATACTGACCGGACGTACATAGATGGACGTAGATCAGAGAAAGGATCTACTCAGTGGTCCAATCCTGTCCCCTTTGAATCATCCATGATGAATCTAAGCGCACTCACTGATGACAGCACGTCTGAAACTATTACATGCCACCTAAATCTTTTCTTTAGCAGGGCAGGAAGTTCTCATTCTGCCAACCATTCCTTATGTGATAAAACATTTGGTATTCTCTTGATTCCTCCCAGGTTGGCTACAATGGTGTATGATTTGTCCAGCAGAGTTGAGGGGCCATCACTTCCTTCACTGCAGGCGTTGTATTTCTATTAGAATAGACTCCGATGACATTGACAAAGCACGCCTACGTTGCCTTCCTCCCATTCCTAATTGACTTTCATCATAAAAGCAGAAACCTACAATAAACTATCACCACCAACCCACCACAGCTTTCTTCAACAGTTCTGAGCCGGTAATTCTACTGGAGCCTCTTATGACCTCTAAAAGCCCAGGAAATCACCCCCAATCTAAAGAGCAGTGTCCTATTCCGGGCTGCCCTCTTGTCCCAGCTTGCTGTCACCGCTGCTGAGATAGCAGACGATTGATCTGAGAAATCAAGTTGGATTGCTGTCCCAAATCTACACTCGGTTCTCCTTGTGTCTGTCTGATCGATTTCGCTCTGTGCGACATAGCTTGTCGCTATGAATTTTCATGCTAGTCAGGAGCCGCCAGCGCACCCAAGAACAAGTAGAAGATGGTGTGCACCCCTCCCCACCCCTTCGACATACCCGGCTTCCGTGGTAACTTCATATTTTCTTAATCATCCATCAACAGATTGGGTAAAGGGTTTTATTTAAGACCTCACACCTTGACGCAATGGGTTTTGGCCACTGGTTTTCCTCCCCAGGTTCCCGGGCCCCCACTCATGGTGACATTTCTACCACTGTTGTACTAGGTGTCACCTGTTTAGCAGCTCCTCTCAGCTGAATGCATGTGGCCGCAGGTGCCATGCAAACACTGATTGCGTCTGACAGCCCTAGACGCCAGCTGCCTGCATGAAGCCTGCCCATTCGCCACGTTTTCTGTGGCTAAAAAAGTGCCGGTGGCATGACCGATACAGAAACAAGAAACTAGGTGACCGTAAAACTCAGGCAAGTCCTACTAAGTGGCAGTCGGGGCCCTATGGCTTTGAAATAATTGGTAGTGATAGAATAAAAACGAAGGGTGAGGGGAGCCTTGTTTTCTTACACTGATGCCCTGCGGACTGTACATCTGACTGGCTGCGAGTCCATCACTGTATCCTCCTGTCTGGCTGATAACATGGCGAAGGGTATCCACCTAAACAGATGAACAACAGAGAGGAAATTAGTCAGGGAGACGCAGGGAGAGGGAGGCAGATCGTCATCACACAGGCTACCATTTGGGCATGACAAACCAACGCAACCGTTTTAGACAGAGTCTGCTGGGAAGAGGCTAGGCCTCCTCGCTATGCCAAATCTCTGATCAGTTCTGAGTTCAGTAAGCAAGACAGTGAGAGAACACTGGGATTCCCAACACAGAAACAAATCCAGCGATGTTTCATGAGACGGTGAGGAGTGGGATGATACAGGGGGCCGGAGGGGAGAGAGTAAGGAGAGCTCCCCTTCTCCCATTTTTTCCTCCGTATCATCTCATATCATTTCTCCCTTGCTGGGTATGCTATAAAACTCAGGGTCTGTTTAGAGGAGGCTTGGGCAGTTGCCTCGCAGAGAGAGCAGTATGTGATGAAGACCTTGTTTCTTCAAGGACTTCGATGATGGCTGGCTGCTAAGCCACTTGACCAAAGTCTGACCCCCATCACCCTGAACTCATTTCCAGACAGTGCTCCCTGAGCAAGTGACTGAATCCATGACCAACCAGTCTATGGAGGGCACATAGGTTTCCAGTTCTGCGTGCAGCGTGGGAGACCAGACTGGTATGGCTCGGAGCTCCTCTGATTGCTTGGACCAGAGCATACCACCTTACCCCCTCACAGCCCAAGTCTTACAAGGGTGGTTGGATGGCCTTCCGGGGCATTGCGAAGGTCACCTTCTCACTAAGGAGCACTGAGGTTTTTCACACGACGTGACTTGCTTCCCAACATGGACTTACAATTATCACCAGAAACCCAAGACCCTCACCTCAAGAATAACTAAGAGGTAAGTTTAGTCAACCTGGCTGGGTGATGTTTAAAGCTTAGAAATGCACGAGATGCTAATGTATTTGCCTGTCCATTCATTCCCGCCTCGTTTGGCAAATATTGAGCGTGAAAAAGCGATGAGTGAGCGGGAGACCTGGCAATGGAGACAATGGGCTGAACGCCACCTCCCTTCTCCTGGGTGAATAAAGGATACTCTGGGTCCACTCGCCTGACGCGCCTCGGTCGCCTAGCCCTGCACTTACTGCTTCTCTCCTGCCTGCCTGGTGTGACAGATAAGCCAGAGCCAAATGCACTCTCAAAGTGTGGACACGATTCCCCACGACAATGGTTGTCTTCTGTGTGGTTTGGTTGTTGGCAAGGTTTTAGTTCTGACTTCTCCCTCTCTCTCTCTCTGGACAGAAGCAGGAAATGCCAGTACGACTGAGGGCGTGCAGACTCTAATGCGTTCCCCTGGCGGCATATTGGCTGGGTCCCTACCTGTGATTGCACGTTGGCTCCAACCTGGGCCCCTTGGTAAGAATCCCCATTGAGTGACTGCACGCTCATGAACAAATCTCCAGAGTTTGACATGTTAAAAGAACTGGAAGAACCTGGAAAGCAAAGAGAGAGGCACCTGAATCACAGAAA